CGGGGGGGGGGCAGGGGGGGTTTGGGGCCAATGTCCCAGGCCCTCACACTCATCATAGAAGCCATAGATGCGGTTGATGCTTGCACACTCGTGGTTGCCCCTCAGCAAGAAGAAGTTCTCGGGGTACTTGATCTTATAGGCCAGCAGCAGGCAGATGGTCTCCAGGGACTGTTTGCCCCTGTCCACGTAGTCCCCCAAAAACAGGTAGTTGCTCTCAGGGGGGAACCCCCCGTACTCAAAGAGCCGCAGCAGGTCGTAGTACTGGCCGTGGATGTCACCTGGGGGGAGGACAGGCCGTGAGTGGGACCTCCCCACACCACCCCGTGCCCCCAGGGGAGCCCAGCACCCATGCAGCCCTCACCACAGATCTTGAGGGGTGCCTCCAGCTCCAGCAGGATGGGTTGACTAAGGAAGATCTCCCGGGATTTGAGGCACAGCCCTCGGATCTCGTTCTCCGTCAGCTGCACGTTCTTCCCTGGCCGCGAGCCTTGGACTGGGCACAGCACACACACCATGGTCAGGGGCCCCAAAGAGACACAGGCACCCTCCCAGTGCCCCTGGAACCCCATCAGTACCCCAGGAACCACTCCAGTGCCCCAGAAACCCCACGCCAGTGACTCAGGACCCCATCAGCACCCCAGGAATCTCCTCAGTGTCCCAGGATCCCACCAGAATCCCCAGCATCCCATGAGGAACCCTCATGCTGGCACTGAGGAACAGACACTGGGGACATGGCACATCCTGTGCCCACAGACTGCCAGGAGGGATTTGGGTGTCCCCCAACAGCCCCCCAGGACCCCATCAGTGTCCCAGGAACCCCACCCGCACACCAGGAATATCTTCCATCCCCCTAATACCCTCCAAGCTCTCCAGGCTCAGCTCCAGCCCCCTTGGGGACCCCGCAGTACCCTCCATGCCCAACTCCAGCCTCCTCACAGGGCACAGACCCATTTGGGATGCCCAAATACCTTCTGGGACCTCCCCCAGTCCTCCTCGGGGGGTTCAGGCCCTTTGGAGACCCCAAGTACCCTCCATATCTTCCCCAAACCCCCTCACAGGGCACAGACCCACTGGGGACCCCCCAGCACCCTCCACGCTCAGCTCCAGGACACAGACCCATTGGGGACCCCCCAATACCCTCCCTGAGCTCTCT